ATTATGGGCAGAGTATGGACTGGGCAGTGTTTCACTCTCTTGTTCATAAAGTTGACAGAGCAGATTTTGTTGGCAATTAAAAACAACCATAATATAAAGTCAAGGAAAATTTCTAGGATTGTCTAACTATAAGGAAGTTCCAAGGCAATACCTGCATGGCAGATCTAGTGAGAAACTACAGATTTCAACAGATGTCTGAATTTTAAGAGGATATTTGCTCTTTGTAAAATTAAATTAGGAACCATCTGTACATATGTCCTGTCTGCCAGAATATAAAGACCAAGAAGTTTTTTAAAAACATGAAATGAGGCAGTTATCAACTCTTAAGAAACAAAAAACCTAAATGAGAAAGAAAAAATTAGCATAGGACATGTATGGATCATTCGAGAGTATGATAACGTCGTAATAAGGTAAAGACAGTCTGGTTGCACTGTGGGTTAAGCATTTGGCTACTAAGTCCAAAAGGCAGCGCAGTTGAGACTTGCCAGCCACTCCACCGCAGACTGTGGCAGTCTGCTTCCATAGAGATGGAAGGCTCTGGCTCGCTGCGGGACAGACGATACGTGGTGAATCCCATACGCATTGGGTTGACTGGTGAACATAGTAATGGAAGAATTGATTTATCCCTGAATTGCGGGGGGCTGGAGGTAGGAGAATTTGTATCATTAGGGGGCAAGGAGTAAAAATAACTGAGAGATGAATTCTTTTCTTTGGTAGGTAGTATTTTAAATGAAACATCAAGAAAGAATAACTCTTATCCGAGAGATATAGAGGATGAACATGCGAGAGAGCAGCTTCAGAAATCTAAGGTGGTTGCTCCTAGAGCGCAGGGATCAGCCGGGTGGGAAGGTAAGGCAGTGTACAGAGCTCTGGCGGCGAAGCCTGGAGTCTGACCCACTGAGGCCTGCAGGCCGAGCTTGTGCAGCTCAGCCTGCGGCCCCTTCCCTCCTGCTGTGGCCCTCCTGGTTCTCCCCATTTATAGCAGAGGGGATGGCCGGCAAGCACAGTAGCTAAGCAGGGGAGTGAAAACTCCCATCTGTTTTCATACAGCCGCCCAAGTGATTCTTAGCGAGAAGGAATACGGTGCTCTCTGGTAAAAATCATGTGCCTCGTCCTTTTCCGGGTACTTTTTCTGATACTTGAGCCAAGGTGTAGGAGTACATATAGTACAAAGTCCAGTGAACTGGTACCTCTCAGCAGTCCTGTCCCAGCCCATGACTCTCTGCAGTCAGACAACGGATACTTAAATGCCTTTACATTCAGGGCTCCATATATTAATTGTCAACTGATAATTTTTAAATTACCACTAAGTTAACACCTGAATATACATATCGCCGTGCTTCACCTTTGATTTTAACCTTTATCATATTATTGTATGTATTTAATAATACATGACTAAGTAATGAATTAAAACGTCTACAACAGGAAGGCTGAGTCATGAGCCCAAATCTCTGTTTTCTGCCAGTAATCTTACGTATTACCATTCGTTTTATATGAAGACTTTCAACTGTTGAAAATGAGAGGAAAATAACTTTAATTGATTTTGTTTAAAATAGAAATTGAAAGAGATGCCAGAACTCTCATTCAGTTCTGTCTGGTACCAAAGCTTTTTAACCATTACCTACTGTTGACTCCCTTTATGAAATTGCAAGTAATTAAGATTTAAGGATTAAGGATGTTATTTTCTGTAATTTAGTTTTGGTAAATCAGAGGAAATATTTTTTCCCTTAGGTTTTTGAAAATTTTTATTTTCTATTGGTTTCCATACAAAATTCATATACATTGTGTTTTGTTCATGTACATTATGTTTCACATTGTGTTTTATACGATTATTCATATACATTGTATTTTATAAAATTAGTCATCATTGATCTATGCCTGCTATTCCCATGTCTTTTTGGGTCCCTTTTGGATCTTTCCTAATTCCTTCTCCACTTTCTTGTGTCCACCAGTCTCTGTTAGACTAGTGATTTCCCTCTTCTTGACATTCCCCTCCTCCCTTCCTCGCCGTTTCCCCTTTTGAACGTGTATACGGTCTTTATTAGTTATTTCTATTTTTACAATAATGGTCTTATGAAATCCTTATTAGACTATTAGTTCACTCAGCATAATGCTCTCTAGACTCTCCCATGTTATGTAGTATTTTACAAAATCATTGCTTCTTAGTGCTGTATAATTTCCCATGGTGTGAATGTCGCATACTTTTTCAATTCATTTGTTTCCATTTTCTTGCTATTGAGAATAACACTGCTATGAACATAGATACACAAATCTCCATTTGTGTCTCAGTTCTGATTTTCCTTGGAGTGTATTCCTAGCAGTTGAATAGCTAGATCATATGAGATTTCTATGTTCAGCTTTTTGAAGAAACAGCAAACTACCTTCCAGGATGGTTGTACCATTTTACATTCCTACCAGCGGTGTATGAGAGTTAAGTGTCTCCACATCCTCTCCCAACATTTATCGCTTGCTGTCAGACTTTACCATTGTGGTTTGATTTGCATCTCTCTCATTGCCAGTGATTTTTAGCATTTCATCATGTGTCTGTTGGCCCCTTGAATGTCTTCCTCTGTGTAAAGTCTTTCCATGTCTTTTGCCCATTTTGTAATTGGCTTATCAGTCTCTTTTTTGTTTTTGTTGTTGTTGTTGTTGTTGTTGTTGGAGGCTCTGTAGTATTCTGTAAACTTTTGTTATGAAACCCTTGCCTGAGATGTCATTTCCAAATGGTTTTTCCCAGTGTGTTTAACCCTACTGGACAAAGTTTGGTGGTGGTGTTTTGGTTTTTGTTTTTTTAACTCATTTTAATGAAAGTTTACAGAAACTTTGGATTTCCATTCATTCATTGTTGCACTTTTCTCCCTGCCCAACCTCCCCCCAGTTCTCTCTTCTCTTTGAAAAGTAAAAGAAAAATTCTTTCATTGTTATATAATCCCTCCACCCTGGACAAAGTTTGTGATGCACACAGGGACTTAATCTTATATAAGTTCCTAATCATTGATGTTACCCTCTCCTGGTTATGTATTTCTGAAAGTATTTGCCAGCCTATTTATACCATAGGGTAGTCTTTCTAGTTTGAACTCATTTCGTCTCTTATCTTTATGTTTGAGGCTTTACCCCTCGGTCTCTGATCCACCCTGAGCTGATTTTTGTGTATGGTAGGAGATGTGGATTCTCCTTCCACTTTCTGTAGATAGACGTTCAGTTTGCCAGCACCATTTGTTGAAGAGGTGGTTGTTTCTCCATTTGATAGGTTTTGTTTCCTTGTTGAATACCATTTGACCGTAAATAGATGACTTCATGTCTGGGCTCTTGACTCTGTTGCATCGGTCTATGTGCCTGTCATTGTACTAGTACCATGCTGTTTGCGTTATTACAGTTGTGTGTTGGGTTTTGAGTGATATGCCTCCCATTTTATTCTTGTTTTTCAGAAGTGCTTTGCTTATTCGGAGTCTCTTTCCTTTCCAAATAAGCTTCCCAATTGTCTTTTCTATCTCTTTGAAAAATGAGTGTGATAATCTCAATTACTGTTATTTGTCATGTATGAATATTTCCTTAATATGCCCTGGTGGCATGGTACGTAACACAGCAGGCAGTTAACTGAAAGGTCAGCTGTGTGAGACCACCGGCTACTCCACAGGAGAAGGTTGGACATCTCTTTCTGTGAAGAGTTACAGCCTCAGAAAACCAACTGGAGGGTTGTTAGGAGTCAGAGCTGACTCAGTAGTAGACTTTTTTCTTTGGGGAAGAAGGGTAGCATATGAGTAGTCCCCAACTTATGACAAAATTTCATTGTGATGGCCCCATCTTAAGTTTATTCTGACTTATAGGAAGTCAAGTGCTGCTTTTTTGTTAGTTTTGTTTTCATTGTTATTAAACCTTTAATTGCCATTATCTATATAAATCCAGTATTTATTTACTGTTAGAGTTGCAAACATTATATGTAAACTAACAGATATACTTTACTACATAAAAATTTATAAATAATAAAAATCTACCCCAAGAATGAAGAGTTTCATATTGACATTTTTTCAGTGGTAATAATTCCACTTGTAAAAGGTTCTGGATCATGTGGCTTATCCCTGGAATTGGGAACGGCATTTCTAGTCAGGAAATTTGAGTTATCCATGCGGTTCTTTTCTTTCCTTCCTATATTTACCAGCGACATCTCACCGCTCCCTAAATCTACCTCTCATCTGGAGCAAATCAGTCAGTGCTTAACCTAAACACTGTTTTCAAGCAATTGAAGCCCCTGATTTAGTTTAGAAAAAACCTCCAACTAATCCTTCCAAAGTAATTATTTTTAAAAAGATCTTTGAATTCTTTATTACTTCTTCAGCATTTCTTTCCTCTTCAGAATCCTCAGTCCTGATCTGTATGTCTCCCTTCTCTGTGGTCTGTGAGCTATTCCACATTAACAATAGCAATAGAAAACTCAGCGTTCTGGCCTTCCCTGTGGCTGATCGGGCCACTGCCCACTTCCATCTCAGGATCTAGTAGATGCTTGGTGCATGCTCACATAACTAAGGGCCTTCCCCCATATCCTCTGCACACATTTCCCCATAACTTACTCCTAGGAAGGTGTTCTGTGTAAATGTGTACAGAAAGAAAGAATGACTGGTCATAAGTTCATCCAGAGACTACCTACATTGAAAATAACTTTTCTCAATGTTAAAACAGGCATTTAAATCACACAAAAGACTATTCATTCAGAAGTATAACTTTTAAACCTTTGAAAATGGATTTTTCAAGTTATAATGAAGATAAAATTATTTAATAATATCCTTCACATGTTTTAGTAGTGTTCACTGATTTTTATATGTAATAGGTTATTTACTGAATCTGTATTTCCTCTACTTAAAGGCATGGTTATCCACCAAGTGGAATTTCTATTTGATCAAGTTCTGATACTGTGTTTTATGGGTTGTTCACATGTCCCCTCTCTTCTCCTCTATACATAGAGTGTTTAGAATTTTATAAAAGCCTTTTCCTCTTTGTTTTAGACAGTGAAACTTCTTTGGGCATGGAACCAGGTGAAGAAAGCCAGCATAAAGGGAAGGCCCAGGACAGCAGCCCCTGCTGTAATCGAATGGGACCTGCAGATTTCTCCAGCCTTCCTGCAACTACAGGGACAGACCACCAGGCGGAGCCGCTCCTCAGCCCTGAAGCCACACCAGAGCTCCACACCCAGCCCTCAGAGGCAGCCAGGAGCAGGTCCCAGCCAGGCTCGCCTGAGAATCAGGATGACTGCTGCTTACCACCGGCTGAAACGGAGGCCTGCAAAGATGTAACCAGAACAGGAGGCACTGCCAAAGGCCCTAACGTGTTACTTTCCAACGAGTCACTCAGAGAGGCGTTGGTTTTACCAGGCTCTGACCATATACCTCCTACTTTGGCTTCAGCGGGGAAATGCCCACAGACTGAAAGAAAGGAACTCCTGTTGCCTCTTCATGATGCATCTGAGGCGTTGCCCAAAGACCAGCTTGAGAACAATGAATTAAATGAGCTGCAGCAACCTGACCTCACCGACAGTGATGGAAAATCACAGACGGACTCAGATGGCTCTGAGAGTGAACTGTGTGAGAAAAATAAAAGACCTGACCTGAGCACAGCTCTGCCAGAAGTGTATATGGCCCCCGAGGGAACGGGAGAAGAGGACAGTCAAGTCAGCAAAGAAACAGAAGACTATTTGAACAGCCTTCTAGAAGGATGTTTAAAATACACTGAGGATTCTTTCCCATATGAGGACACTCAAGAGGAAGATTCAGATCTCCTTCCAGACCTTTCTCCTGATGAGGCATCCTACAGCTTACAGGAGGACCTGCCTTCTGATGACAGCTGCCTTTCTCTTGATGACCTCGCGAAAAGGATAGAGATTGCAGAGGTAAATTAAAGGTAGATTCCAAGTCAAATGACAGTTGAGACTCATGCGTGCTAAACAGTGTCTTGCTTTTGTAGGCTTTCTCTGATCTCAAAAAGAAGAGGGAGTTAGTTAATGGGAACTTGTTACCATTGCTAGTTTGTCTGTGTTGGATGAGATGACTTAACCATTAGGTTTATACTTTAAGAAATCATGTTGCATGCCCCTGAGCAAAGTAAGCCTTATGAGCACTGTTTTCACATCCCCGTGACTAGTATATGGCAGTCCCAGGAATCATGGTTAGTTACATTCTTATAAAGAAATATAATTTTCTTTTCATACAGTGAATGGTCAGTATTTCTTCCCCTTATTAATGTATTTCTAAATTCTGTAAAACAACCAAGCAGAATGGAGGAAGCATTTTTAAATGTGTAGAACTAAGACATACTGAGTATATATATATTTTAATTTTATTTTTTTATTATTTTTTGTGTGTACTGTCAAATGGGATCTGACTGGTACAGGAGGAGATTGCCCCTCCGCCAGTAGAGCAACTGGTGGATTCAAACTACATACCTCTGGGATTGCAGTGCAGCTTCTTGCCATTATGCCATCAGAGCTCCCTTACTGAATATCTTTTTAAGCTATTAAGTTATGTGCTACACATCTTCTCCTCTTTAAAGTATTTATTTTATTTTATTAAATGTTGTGTGTGTATCATAAAATCAGATCCGACTGGCACAGAAGGAGATTGTCCCTCCTTCTCCAGCAGAACATCTGGTGGATTTGAACCATGCGCCTCTGGGATTGCAGTGCAGCTTTTTAAAATATTTTTAAGCTCTAGGTTTGAACTAACTTAAAACTTACTGTTTGACTAAGTTATATAATTTTAAGTAATTGAGTGGCGACATTTCTCAAAAGAAAATTAAAATAATAACCACCACCCCTAAAATAAAAGATCGAAGTGACCATTCTCTTATTTGATAAGAGAATATTTAGAAAAAGAAAAGCTAAAAGCCTTACAACAGCAATCAGAAAGTTACTGGGGAGTTAGCCTGGTATGATGGGAGAGCCAGTTCCATGTACTGTAACTATAGTTTCAGTATTCACACAGACCTTGCCCTCCAGTTCCGAGTATTGTGGAGTCACTCCTTAGCTAAGTCTCTTTCCCTCCTTGGAGAATCAGGATACTGGCTCCCCCGCTACTTTCTTGTCTTCTCCCTTTAAACCTCCAGTTGATACTTAGTCGTCTTATACCCACTGTTTGGTGGCTCAGCATTGCTATTAAGGAAAGGAACTTCAAGGGGAAAATGAAAAAGAATAAAGTCAATGTGAGCATGTGAAAATAACACCCTTTTGAAGATAATTGCAACCATTATTATATTCTGTCTCTAATCACCAATTTTAATCAGTTCACCATTAAATAAATTTTCTCTTCGTAAAATTAAGTAGAATATGTATCAAAATACTTTACTAGTGATAGTTATCTTCTTGGGGTTTACGTCATTCTTTTTGGTTCTTCTTGTAGTAGCACCCACAGCAAAACCCAGGGCAAAAGTTGTAGCATGTGCAGCTCTGAGACACTGATTGTGTTTGTTAGTTGTACAAACCTTTTCAGCCTCTTTTTCCAATATTTTCTTCCTCCGTTAACAGAAGTTCACTGCCCCCTAATGGTCCTCTAAGGTTTCCTGTTGCTGTCGTCAGTTTGGTCTTATGTAGATAGTTCTGTTTTTTTAAGGAGACCTCCGTAAAATCCAGAGATCTACCTGTCATATCAGATAAGCTACCTTTTCCTGACGTGTATTTCACGTCAATAGACAAATTCACCTTGGGGAAAACCACATAGAGTGGTATTAACTTTGTAGCTATAAACCATGAAGAATAATTAGAGTTTCAATGAAATATCTTAGGCTCCTGTGAGTGCTCTCGTGGCATGGGAGGTGTTGTTAGGCCGCTCCTTTCTGATGGTTCAGTCCCTGGGAGGAAGTGGCCCGCCTCTCCCAGTTAGTTGCTTTACTTTGAAGGGTCAGCTATGAGTCAAAGAGATTCTTTCTGAGAGTTTTTCTTATCTCTTTTATCTTACAGAATGAGAAAATTTGAGAATGTATTGTTGAATCCATATTGTTGTTATGTTAGTACAACTGGAATATTCCACCTCAAACTCATAATGTCAGTGTTTCTTATCCAGATAACAGCTGGAGGTGGAAATGGTGGTGTTTCACATTTACTGTGAAGTTACTATTTTCTCTTTATAACCTTGGAGAATGACAGTTTATTATCACAACATTAACCAGATGAGTACACCCACTGCAGTCACTGTTGATGAATGCATTTCATTGCTGGAGCAATATACTGCATCACATAGTGGTGCATACAGTTATTGATCTCGCCTTTGGGTGGTTTTCCATCAGATTTTCAGATGACCTTAGGGAACTTGTGATACATTAGGAATCCTTAAAGTTCTTTTCCTCTATGAAGTCAGGCTGCCTTAAGGACCTCAAAAGCTTCGTGCGATTCTCACTTTGCTTGATTTACTTTTGCCAAGTGGTAACAGTCCATTTACTTTCAGAATACTTAAATCTTTTCTACATTCTGAGAAATAATACTTTGATAAAAATCAACCTCTATTTTAGGGAGAGTGTAAGTTTTCATAACTTAGAACAGTAAATGCGAGTACTTGCTAAATACCTTAAGGAAGAGTTTTCAGACTAAATAACATGTCAGGATACTAGTGTTAGCATGTAAGTACAAGCTTTTAAACACCCAGACCCTCCATGTCTCTCGCCTCCATGAATACGGGTTGAGGATTCTATGAGGAATAAGGGCAAACTCTGGGCCTTTTTGAGGCTTTGTGCTGCGCACTTGGCTGATTTTACTTGTTTTTGACTTTTTTTTTAAATTTATTTTTGTGTGCGTGTACCGTCAAATCAGATCTGACTGGTACAGGAGATTGTCCCTCCTTCCCCTGCAGAGCATCTGGTGGATTCGAACCGTGCGCCTCTGGGATTGTAGTTGCAGTCCCTTGCCACTAGGCCACCAGAGCTCCCCTTGTTTTTGACATTTTTAAAAAAATGTTCCCTACTTTCGTGAACAGAGGATACAAAACAGAGCCCACTACTGACCAGCCTTCAGACCAGTGTTTCTCAGCGCCCTAAAGCACTCCCGCCCTCCTGAGTCACCACTTGTCTCCAGCTCCCTTACTTCGTTTTCTGCTCTTTCCCAAATCTCTCCTTTCTCAACTATTAGTGGCTCAGCCCCTCACAAGCTTCCTTGTCGTCTGTGCCTCTTTATACCATTCCACTTGTACATGCTACCCTCTTCTCTCTTTGCCACTTCTTCACTTCTCTCAAGTCTGAGTGCTGTGGATTCTAGTGGTATCTGCATCACTAGTGCACTAGGGAAGCACTTGTTGTGTCTTGTTTTAGAAATAATTGTCTACATCATACCAAATGCAAAGGGCACAGTGCCAGCCAGTAGGCTGGAGAGATTCACTCGTTGGTAATTTTTGGATGCCTTTCCCAGGAATGCTGCTCTGTCACACACGTGATTAATATGAAGATAAGGACTCTGCATGCTTGAAACCTGCAGTCTAGCTGTTGTTAGATTCCAAATGCATGATCTGTTCGCTAAAGTTGAGGCTGAAGTTTTATGGCAATACTCTCCCCTCAAATACTGACGTGGTTATTTTAATGTCAGAATGCAAATCCCACTCATCCAAGAAGCTGGTGATTCAAATAAAGCCTTGATTTGATTCCGGGACCTGGAAAGGGTACCCCATTTTTCCTTTAAACTCTTTGCATGTTCCATCTTGTAGCCTCAGACTCAGAGGGAGTCCTTGTCAACACCCAATAGGAAAAGTATGCTCCACAAGTTCAAGGTCGTATCATGACCTCATCCCCATGCTGCTGGTAAAAGTTCACATGATTTACAGTAGATTATTATGTGTATGGAAGTGAGGCAGTTATTTTGTTTTCTTTTTTTTTTGCAATAACACTTAAAGTTTATTGGATGACAGCACACACAGGAAACGCAATTAGTCGAGGAGCCCACTATCTGTTCCCAAGGGATCATCCTAAGAATTGAGACCCAAGAGGCGAACCCTGGCAGAGGCTTGGTCCGCCGCTGTGTCGCTCGCGGTTAAAAGGGCCGCCTGCAGCGGGCTGGGGCCCCAGTTATGCGCGAACTCATGCTCTTGCGCAGCAGCTTAACCCCCAGCACCACGGGCAGGCGCGCCGGGGGCTCAAAAGCAGCGCGTAGTTATATTGTTTTCTAAAGAAACATTAAAAATAACCATAATTCAAAAATCCTCTGTTCTATGTGAGCAGATTTCACAGCACAATGCACCATGTGGAGATAAAGCTATTTGTTTTTCTTTGAACAGTTCATTAACACATATATGAGTAAGTTTCTCGCAGAGATGACATGGCCTATTGGAAAGAAGCTGCACTGCAATCCTAGAGGTGCACGGTTCGAATCCACAAGATGCTCTGCTGGAGGAGGGGCAATCTCCTCCTGTACCAGTCAGATCCGATTTGATAGCACACACACAAATAATAAAATAATTTTTTTTAAACCCCATATGAACTAATTATATTATCACCTGTTGTGATAATTACATCAGATTAAGTGGGGATTTTTGTTGCTTTTAGAAATAATGTCATAATGTCAAAGCTGAGGAGGAAGCCACACCTCTCCCACCTGCGGCTGTGTAAAGTCTTTGCTCTGGAACAGGGCACAGCGGTGTGTGTTTTGAATCCCCACATCAGATGGACTCCTGATGGCATGGTGACCCTAGTGAGGCTTCCAGGGCTGTGAAGCCTTAGTGGAGGAGACTGTTTCTCTTCCCTCCCTGGAGCGGCTGGTGGATTCACTCTTTGGCTAGCAGCCTAGTATGTAACACATTTCACCAAGGCGCCTTCTTGTCTGTATGCAGAAAAGACATAAATTCATTGACATTGAGTTAAAATTGACTCATAGCTGACCCTCTTGTGGGTTTTCACATAGGAAGAGGTTGATTGTCTTTC